AAACAAGAAAAAAAAATAACCTCAGCGATTGAGCCTCAGAGTCAGCATATTTCGGTTTAAATATAATAAAATATACTATACTTGATAAGAAATGTAAGTCTCACGATCGGCCGCTGTTGTATTTTCTACTTGAAGAACACGCAGTTCAAAGTTTTGTATACAAATGTCTTCTTTTATTTTCTTTTAATTTTTCGATTACACCCAAAATTGTGTCTTGCCCTGCCTGAAGGTTTTGAACAGTAGCGTACACTTTTGCCAGAAGATCATCCCCCCACCCCTATGGGGGCCCGGGTTTGTCTCAATATCACCAGAGTGGCGCAATGGAATAACATTCAAACCTTTTTGAACATATTACAACGGTTAAACCAGCTGAACTACGAAATTAGGGAGAAAGGAGTAAAGACAGGTGATCGCTGGAATACCAACTATTTAATAAAGATTCTTCGTTTTCCTCTCATTGTCTACTGGCGTTGTGGCTACCTTCTCTTCTTCCTACTTGATTTTTCTGTTCCATCTCGGATACTGGTTTTCCGGAGGAATCTTTTCGCTTTCCTGTAGCGCAATAGATGGTGTACTAACGCAATTTTCTTCTTTATCTTCTATGGCCAAGGCCTCAAGTATTTCACGGGCGAGCTGGTCTTTGTGGTGAGCTAATATGGTACCCAGGTCGAGCTTGGCCTCGCACGTGCATGCTCGACAATGAGCGGCTAAATGCCCCGGCCCTGTTAGGGCTCTTATGTTTGCTGCATGCTCACGTGCTCGATCGTTCACGCACCTTCCCGTTTGTCCAATATACACACGCCCACATGACAGTGGTATGTTATACACTACTCCCTTTTCGCATTGGACGTACTTATTCTTATGTTTGGTGTTGCAAGTGCCGGTGTTGTTGGCCTCCCCTAGATTGACCTTCCGGCACATGGCATATCCCTTGTTTGGTGCCGAGCACACTACTTTGACGCCCTGCCTTGTGGCGATCTTTTTCAATCTATGTGTGACTCCATGAATATACGGAACCACCGCGAAAGGTGATCCAGGAACCTTTTTCCTTTGTGTTAGAGTCATTCTTTTGGCTGGATCTCTTGATGTTTTGGCAAAGTTTTTCACATATGGAGGCTAAGAAGGGTCTCGGATACCCGGCCTCATGGAGTCTGGAGATTTGGGTCTTGAAGCTTCGTCCCATCTGATGTGAACATGTTTTTCTGAGGCTAGCTGTGAGAGCTGAGGTGGCGACCCCTTGCTTCACATTTTTCGAATGTTCTGAGTCAAAGGGAAGGAACCCTTTCCCCGATCGCGTTTCGTACCTCCAACAAACGTGTTCCTTTTGGAAGTCTAAGGCCAAATCCAGAAACCTGATAGACTTATCAGCGGGAAGCTCGTATGTAAAGGTGAGGCCCATGCAATTTGTATGAAAATCCCTAAGAGTGGTGTTAAGGCATCCGTCTGATGTTTCATCAACTGGGGTGGTACATAAAATAAGAAAGTCATCAACATACCGAAAAATAGCTGCAACTCGTGGGTCTTTCATACCTTGTTGTATAGCAACCCCACAGGCGCCTAAAAAGACGTCGCACAAATATGGTGCCACTTTTGTCCCGATGCACACTCCACTCTTCTGGACAAAGTGCTGATCTTGGTAAGTCACTACCGTTGCGGAGAGGTAAACCCTTAAAATCTCCAAGAAGGTGTCAACGCTAACACCCGCTCCATTTTGGAATTTCGCAAGGCCTTCATTTTCAATGGTATTTCTGAGGACGTGCAACAGCCTTGCTTGAGGGATGGAGTAGTACATGTCCTGTACATCCAAGGAAAACCCCGAGACTATACTATTTCCTTTTTCTTCAAGATAAGATATTACTTGCTCTGAGTTGGGGATCCGGAATGGATCTTCTATGTGTATTTTTGAGAGATGTTGTGCCAAAAACCTTGAAACGCATGCTTGCCACGTTGTCCTTTCGGAGACTATGGCCCGAAAAGGAATGCCTTCTTTGTGAGTTTTGGCGGAGAAAAACACCGAAAGCTGGTCATTTGCCGCTCATTTGATCTTGGTGCAAAGGCTGGCTTGATTTTGGTCGAACAGGTCAATGATGGTTCTTTTTGCTGCTTTTGCCCTTTTATTTTCTACTTTTATGAAATTCTTATTGATCGCTTGTTGGGCCTTTTCTTCATAGATGTTTGAATCCAGAACCACAAAACCTCCTTCTTTATCCGAGACGCACAGTTTCAGGTCTTTGCTTCGTAACTCTTGAATGGTAGATCTGAAGCTCACCTTTGCCTTGCCCTGGTGTTTTAGGTTTTCAAAGGCTTAGATGCCCTCATCTATGATTTGAGGGCCTTTCTCTTGGGGGGCCTTGGCGGCTATCTTCCTTACGAGAGCAACGTTGTCCACCCTCTCGAGCTTGGGAGCGATGGCGAACTTAGGCCCTTTTTCCAGCACCTGTCTTGCTGTTGTGGAAATCTCTACATTGCCGATCACCTGGATCGGATGCTTCCTCTCAGGTTCCTTGGCTAGTCGATGTGCTGCTAAGAGGTGACGCCAAATCGGGAGGAAACTTTGAATCCATAGGTTCTCCGTCGTGTACCTGGTCATTGCGATGTGGTTGGAAAACCAGTTGTAGGTAGGACACCTGGCTCGCAGAACATCGGTGAGGAGGCGGACTTGCCGCCATTTTTCGGATCTGAGGATCTTGGACACTCTTTGAGCGTGCCCCTGGGATGGTTTTACCCCTCCAAAGAAGGATTGGACTTCAACCAGGAGGATCTTCTTTTGTATGCTCCGAGAGATCAGTCTTGCTTGGCAGATGGAAGTTGCAATACAAAGGCATAAGGCCTCCGGTTTCAGAAGGTTGAGATCTCCAGATCTCCAGACTCCATGAGGCCGGGTATCCGAGACCCTTCTTAGCCTCCATATGTGAAAAACTTTGCCAAAACATCAAGAGATCCAGCCAAAAGAATGACTCTAACACACGGAAAAAGGTTCCTAGATCACCTTTCGCGGTGGTTCCGTATATTCATGGAGTCACACATAGATTGAAAAAGATCGCCACAAGGCAGGGCGTCAAAGTAGTGTGCTCGGCACCAAACAAGGGATATGCCATGTGCCGGAACGTCAATCTAGGGGAGGCCAACAACACCGGCACTTGCAACACCAAACATAAGAATAAGTACGTCCAATGCGAAAAGGGAGTAGTGTATAACATACCACTGTCATGTGGGCGTGTGTATATTGGACAAACGGGAAGGTGCGTGAACGATCGAGCACGTGAGCATGCAGCAAACATAAGAGCCCTAACAGGGCCGGGGCATTTAGCCGCTCATTGTCGAGCATGCACGTGCGAGGCCAAGCTCGACCTGGGTACCATATTAGCTCACCACAAAGACCAGCTCGCCCGTGAAATACTTGAGGCCTTGGCCATAGAAGATAAAGAAGAAAATTGCGTTAGTACACTATCTATTGCGCTACAGGAAGGCGAAAAAAGATTCCTCCGGAAAACCAGTACCGAGATGGAACAGAAAAATCAAGTAGGAAGAAGAGAAGGTAGCCACAACGCCAGTAGACAATGAGAGGAAAACGAAGAATCTTTATTAAATAGTTGGTAGTCCAGCGATCACCTGTCTTTACTCCTTTCTCCCTAATTTCGTAGTTCAGCTGGTTTAACCGTTGTAATATGTACCACCAACTAGCTCAGCTTCTACCCCCTTTTTGAACAGTTTCACGCTATTTCCCACGTCGTGCCTCAAGAGTGACGCTAAACGAATTAAGGTCATCTATCGACACGGCTTTCATCCCTTCCATCGAGCGAGGCTTACGCGATCGTCCAACCATTGCACTCAGCACGTCCACGACGACTAAGTTGGACTACGGGACGATCGCTGAATTCTCACACCGTAGCAGAGAAACTACCGCGCACAAGAGCCTATACTGGAACGCCCATGAGACGTATAAGCCCGGTTCACTTCGAGAAGCCGGCGTCCCTCAGCGAAAACGTTGTTGAAAGCGGCGCGCACCATGCTGGAAAAGATAGTTTGCCAAGCCCTAACGTATGTGACGTCAAAGAATGAGTGGAGGTGATTGCCTTGCAAAATATTGTGAATCAACTTCAGGCGAATTTGACGCTGAATTTATAGCCTTCCATGTACAAAAGCTGTTTAGCCTCTGAAAGACTCTCAGAATTATGGCATAACCAAGACATGATATTTTTTCACCAGAGATTTGGTATTCAGATCCTATATTTCCAAACAAGCTTAAGAAGTAGGCATCCCTGCTTTTTGTTCGCTTGATGCGTAGCATGCTTGGCTGATATTTGGCAATCTGTCAATTATGTAATGAGCCAGACAAAAGCCCAAAAAAAAGTACCTTGACACTAACTGACGCTTTGGAGTAAAACTTTATGAAGGCCACGTCAGGCCCCTAAGACCAGGTGAAGGAAAACGAAGAAATAGCGAAGGGCGGAAAAATAGAACAGCCGATAGGACAAGCCCGATTCGCACGGTGCGATTTTATTTGAGATTTCGCAGTCACGGCGTGGCGTGAGCAGCAAAAAGAGCGTGGTGGAGGCTACGGTGCTCAAAACCGCTGCTGCGAAATCGAATAAATAAATTTAAAAAATCGCACCATATAAACCGGGTTTTACAAGTGTTCGTTTCTTTCGGCGACGACATGAAGTCGCATGAGTGCTTGTCTACTGTATTTCATTTGACACGACGCACAAAGCCAATGTTCTCATTCAAGTGAGTACAAAATTAAGGTAAAGAAAACGATTAGTAGAGAGCTTTCAAGTTCACAACCGATGGGATCACGGGTGCCCACGCCTATGTCCTGACGTTCAGAAGTGGTGACAATTCATGGCACCTTTCTCAGTAGATCACTATATGAACTCTATGCCAAAGACTGCACAACTTGGGCTAAGTTATTCTTTTCTCTGGCGTGCTGCTTCTTCCAGATTTTAAAATGTTCCAATCGTTCACTTCGGTTCCTAACACTTCATTTTGTCTCGCAGGGACACTGCCGAACAAGACGATTCTATGTACTTTTGGAATATACACTTCCACGTCGACCGTGGGGCCCGAGGATGGGGTTTGCGACATCATTATCTTGGACTACTTTTACAGCAATGACATGGGCACCTTTCTTGACAGTACAAAACTTGTGTTGCGGTGGTTTCTACGTTTGGCCAGCAAGAACAACGCGTACACCCAATACGGAATAGGAATTGACCACAGGTAATCTTCTGGCTCCGCGTGTATTTCGAGGACAATCGTTGCTGCAGTTCTTTAGCTAGCAGGGGTTCGACCTGTTATTAAAAAAAATGAAAATCACTGTAAGCCCGCGCTTAGTTGATGTGTGTTTATTGTAACATTGTAAATAATATGGCATATTAAAACATCAAGAGGCCTTTTTTCTTGAAAAACTGATATTTAAAATGTACAAGGTGTTCAACTTAACTCAGGCAAATTCTTTTTTTGTTGTTAGATTACGCAGCACACAAAACTAACAACTTCATGTCTTTCTGGTTTCTGCCCCGGAACCCATTTAGGGAAATTAATATAGTTCAGAATAACCAGGTGACTGAATATTTTTGAGTAATTATCTATTGTAATTATTAAATTTCAGCCCTCGGTTTCAATTAGAACGCTGTCGGCATCATCAGAACTCAACATATGGAGTCACATTACAATAATATATCCAGCACCTAGCGTTCTATGGCATCCCGAAGCAGAACCGCTTAATTTGGACAGGTTTTCTAGGTTTCGGTTTTTTATCAGAGCGCACCCCCGCAACAGCGGTCTCGCTTCCCGTAGTGAAAACACGCAACGTTCGTGCGCTACAACGCATCGCACGTAGGGGCGCGTCTTTAACAATATTACGTCGTGATTTCAAATAGTAGTTTCTAATAATATTTCAAGGTTTCTGAAATTCGTATCCAATGATACGCAAAGTTTTTTCAACATTGATCCCGGGATGATATCCCGGGATTTTCAATATTGGTATCCAGTATTATGCCACGATTTCCGATATAGGAATCCAATGATACGCAAAGAATTTTAACACTGATATTGAATGATCTCCCGGGATTTCTGATATTGGACTCCAATGATACACAAAGAATTTTAACTCTGATATTGAATGATCTCCCGGGATTTCTGATATTGGTATCCAGTACTATACCACGATTTCTGATATAGGTATTAAATGATCCAACATTTCATTCCAATATTGTTAACCTATTATATTGTGCCTTTTCCAATATTGTAATCCAATCACATACCCATTTTTGTCAGTGTAGTTATCCAGATGCATATCAGCTATCCCCAATATTGTCCACCAAGGATATGCCATTTTTTTCATCTTGGTATTCATTATTAGCCCTCGTCTCCTAATAATATTAGCTACAATAAACTCGAAAATTGCCAAATGTGTCTAATTTTAAGCCGGTCTTGGAGTGTTCTTTGGGGAAATATCCTGTCTTCATATTAAATTTAAATAATGAGGAGCATATTGGAGATCACATATATACTTCTTTTAGTTATGTAAATATCAAATCGAACCGAAGCGAAATAATCTACTTTCATTTGAACCTAAAAAGCAACAAACGCATTAATTTTGTTTTAATGATCCTCACCTATTTCAAGTTAAACATCGCCACCGTGGCAGAACCAATGAACGTTCGCCCATTTTCCCTGTTTGCAAAGGAGCCAAATAATAGAGTAAATATTTGATCTCCCTCCACGTTGGAAGCTGCGTTGGAAGCATCAACGTTTAACGTAGCTACAAAATGAAAATCATTTTTAGAAACATTTTTGATTTATAATCTTCCTTGACGAAACAAAAGGTGTTTCAGAAAAATTCTCCTTTGGATGATTACTTCAAAAACTCGAGTGAAAAAAGATTTAAAAAACTAAAAATGTTAGGCTCTGTGTTAATATATTAAAAAAATGTTATACGTTTCAGGAGAAAAAAACATAAGGAAGGAAGAGTTACCTATAGTAACCGCAAGCGCGGCTTTTTTTTTTCTGTAGAAATTTAGGTCGGTCAGGTGATTGGCGCATAGCGAATGTCTTTGCAGTCTGGGGAGTTACTTATCTAGCCTTTCCTACGTGTGATATTTGGCAGCGTATTTGAGGCTGTGAGTTTTGACCACGGGGAGCGAGATTGCTGGAGTGAAGATGCGGTGCGATAAGAAACCGAAACTTTGAAACCCGTCCAAAGGGAGCATAGAATAAACGCCGTAAAACGAGTCGCGTACATTATTTTATTGTAATGTAGGTGAATTCAGTTGAATAAGTTGGTGCCAATTAGGATTATAATTAAAACTATGCCCTTAATTTACAAAATAAATACGCTAATTACTCAAAAATAATTAGTGCCCTTTACTGTTCCAGACTATACACATTTTCCTAAACAGTCTCCTGTTCAGGCTCCAAAACACATCACCCTATTTGATGTAAGACGCACATTTCTCTAAAAATCGAACTTTCCGAAACCTCGTGTTCACTGATTATATATATATATATATATATATATATATATATATATATATATATATTGTTAGGAAAGACGACGATGTGACGCGAGTTGCGCGCTCTAGTGTCGGCCGCAGAGTGCCCGCGCGATCCGATTCAGACTGACTTCGCCTGGCTGCGCTGCGGCACTGACCGTCATCTACAATCCTCCGATCATCTCATTAAACCTGCACATCGTTGCCTCACAGGTTGGTGGAGGTGCTATCGTTCTTCCGCCTCTCGTCTAACCGTTAATTATCAATTCTGGAGCTACGCAGCAGACGACCTGCGCAAGTCAATATGCCAGAAGAAGCGGGCAACGCTAACCGTCCCACGAACACTACAGCGCCCGTGGTCAAACATCGACAGCGCGACCCCCAGATCTTCGACGGATCTACGGACGCCGACGTCGACGATTGGTTAAAGAACTATGAACGGGTCAGCCACTACAACCACTGGGATGACAGCTTTAAGCTCGCAAATGTTGTTTTTTTTCTAAAACACACAGCACTTCGCTGGTTCGACAATCACGAAGAAACCATCAATTCCTGGGAAGGCTTCAAAACAGCATTCGCCGATGTGTTTGGCAAACCCCAGCACCGGAAGCAGCAAGCGCGCGACCAACTATTGCGCCGCTATCAAAGACCCACAGAAACATCAAAAGCGTACATTGAGGACGTCCTCCGTTTGTGCCGCCGAGTTGATGCTGAAATGGCCGAAGACGAGAAAATTCGCCACCTCTTCAAGGGCATTTCGCAAGAGCTCTTCTCCGTCGTGGCTCCGAAAGCACCTGCTACAACAGAGCGCTTGATAGCGGAATGCCGACAGTACGAAGAGCTCGATAGCGCACGGATCTCCAAAAAAACCATTCGAGCGACTCCCTGAAGTGTCCCAGGTAACAACTCCCGACACAAACCTTGCTTCGCTCATCCGCACCATAATACGCGAGGAGCTTCGTACCGTCGTCGCACAGCTACAACCATCTAGTGACGAACACCAAACAAATACTGACGTACATGGCATAAAGGAAGGACGCATTTCAAAGCGAACTGCGCGCTGTTCTGGGGCACGTCACGCCAGCAGCCTCTCCTTACGCACCAGCAGCACCCGTCCCAACTTCGATCTGCGCTTATCAGTCCATCCCTGCCACGTATGCCGCACCAACCCCTCCATGGACACAACCACAACCAAGGACAAATATCTGGCCAACGCCAGATCAGCGACCTCTGTGTTATTATTGTCACACACCAGGACACATCCTCCGATATTGTCGCCGTCGACTTAACAACACGGCTCGCACCTCGCCGACCAGCCGTGTATACTCCACAGAGTATACTGACTACCATGCTACTCATCGCACTCCGCCCATCGACGAATTTTCTTCACGTTCCCACACGTCCACTCCCCCCGGTCACGAACAATTTAAAGACAGTCGCCGTCCCTCTCACAGCCTCGAACGTTCCCCACCGCCACGACGTGGCCACCCATCATCGCCGTACCCGCCACGACGCCGTTCTGTATCACCCTTCACCACCGACGCTCCCGGACCTTCCCAACAGTCAAACTAGATAAAGCGGTCTGCAGCTACATTGGAGGTCAGGCTGCACACTCACCACTATCCGCAAATCCTCCTTATTTAGGATCAACATCAATTGTACTCAAAATTAGAAATCACAACTTTACCGCCTTAGTCGATACAGGAGCCGCGAAGTCTTGCATTTCTGAACACATCCGCCGTCGTCTGCACGCAGTACTTACCAAGCCGTTGCAAGGACACTTGATGCTCATGGGCAATGGTGATTTGGTTCCCCCTCTCGGATACTGCACCCTTACAATCTGGATTGGTAACAACCGTTACGTTGTTATGTTCATAGTGCTTCCTACCTGCATCGCCGACATCATCCCGGGATGGGACTTTCTGTCTTCAACAAAAGCATTCATTGACTGTGCCAGCCGTGAATTGCACCTCAACTCTTCTGATACTGCCGAGGTTGCTGCTGATGGTTCGCTCGTCACCCTGGTAGCCGACACTGACATACTGCTGCCTCCGTACTCTGCCGCTGTCGCCACACTCGTACCGACCCTACCCACCGCAGCAACTTCTGGTCTCATTGAACCCATCTCTACGCAGCTCGTGACCAAGGGCATAATCATTCCCTATTCGCTTGCTACACTCACGAGTGGAAAACTTCAGTTATGGGTAACCAACTGTTCTTCCGAAGCCCAAATCGTCCCTTCCGGAAGTCGTGTCGCTACAATGCACTCAACAGTGCATCACCAATTTGCCAGTCTCCTCCCCACCACTTCAGACGCGCTCCCCACACCACCTGATTTCAGCAAGCACGTGGAAAAAATGATCGACCCCCGCCTACCACTGACCCAACGACATATATTAGCTCGTCTTCTTGCAGACTACGAAACCCTTTTTGACATTAACCCTGGAAAGTTGCCGCAAACTTCGCTTATAGAGCACCGAATGGATACTGGCGATTCATCACCCGTTCAAAGCCGACCGTACAGAGTTTCCCCAGCCGAACGCCGAATAATACAGACACACATAGATGATATGCTCCAAAAGAAAGTAATCGAACCATCTTCTAGTCCATAGTCTTCACCCGTTGTTCTTGTTAAGAAGAAAGACGGCTCTTGGCGTTTCTGCATTGATTACCGCAAGCTAAACAAAGTCACAAAAAAGGATGTTTATCCATTGCCCAGAATTG